TACCTATCAACTTAATCTTTTGAGTTAGAATAATGCATTCCAACTTTATATGCAAATATCTAATTTTACTCGATAGTCGATACTCTACTAGTTATTCTCAACCCACCAAAATTTTAAGAGTTTTTTCCAAAATTCTACAACATTCATTAAATGACACCAAGATATCCTTATGTGTGCATTGCAATCTAATTTTTTAAAAATCAAATTAGACTATAACATTCATTATCATTATTCAAATGTAATACTCCATCCAATGCACTTTTTTAATCCATTTTATCTTGTAATTTATATATTAAAAAATTATAAAAATTATATATTAATAATCTATATGTTAAGACGAATCAAGCAAGATCACACATGACTATTTTTAGGCTTACACATTGAGAGAATTTGATGAGTCAAAGTGCTTAGATGAACAGTTCCAAAAGTCAAAAGTGGACAAACACTCAGGGACGGACCAAACTAAGTAATATTTTCCTATTTTTGATAATGTATTCTTTGTTTGTATAAGACTCCCTTCGTCTCTGAAAACCAATTTCCTTTCTTTTTTCATCTGTCCCACTAAAATTTCTCATTTCTATTAAAAAGTCACTTTTACCCTTACTAATTCTTAACCTACCTATCACATCACATCTATTCACAATGAATCTATCCATCAAATCCTACTTTTATAAATCACATCCAAGGACATTTTTGAAAATTCAATACCCAAATACACTCCCTATAAACATGAAAATATCCCATGTTTTCAAGGACGGAGCTGAGGGAGTATATGATTTAATTTTATAGGAATTAATTACACAACAAACTCACACATAATATGTGTCTATGTGTATGTTTTAAATTCACAAGCGTCTCGCAACAACAACAACAACAACAACAAAGACAACTTAGTTGGGTCTCACAAGATAGCGTTCAGGAAGGGTGTGTCATGTATGTACACACACCTTACCCCAACTCAAAAGTTGGGAGACTCTTTCCAAAAGATCCGCGGCTCACATAACAAAAGTAATAAAAGATAATAATAGTAATTAAAGATCTAATAAGATACCTAAAAAGCATAGAAAACACATATAAAATCCAAAGCACACAAAGGCAAAGGACAAATTAATGTTAATGAAAGAAAAATAGTGCAAACGGAGAGCAGCAAACATAGAAAGCATATAAAGCACACGACAAGTCTAGAAAACTAGCACCTAGCCCAAAACATCATCCCAACTAGTCTTATCGTATCTCTCCAAACACTCTTATCTAAATAATCTTGTCCAATGATCTTCTTCCAAGTTCTAAGTCTTCTTAAGTCTACCCCTACTCCCACCAGCCAAGGTAAGGGCAAAAATCCGAGTAATTAGTATTGAGTGTAAAGACTAGAACCACAACAAGAACGTAACAACAATGAGAGTATGACTGCTAAATTCTTTTGCCGAATAATATTAAATTTGTTCATAAAATACTAGATTCACATATAAAATGATTGCAAAATTCACAAACTTACTATTTGTGAACTTTAATAAAAAAATTAAATAGTCTAAAATAATTTTGAAATGAAAATCTAAACCAAAAGTGATAAGTTTGTAAAGTTTGTGACTATTCTATTTGTGAATGTAGCATTGCTCAAAAATTATTGAGGGGATTGGCAATAGTAATATAAGTAAAATGTGATTGATGAATTTAAGAAAAAGTAATGAGGGAATTTTAGATACATCATGAATTTAAAAATAATAATGAGGATGTTGCTAAATACATCCCTCTTTTTGCTAAATCCACACATTATTTTGTACAAATGGTGAAATGGATAGATTTATATTTAAAACAATAAAAAAGAAATATAATATGTGGGCTAACATAACAATAAATTAGACATTTATCATAAATGAGATAGATTTTACCAAATAAGGTGTCAATTTAGCAACATCCTAATAACAATAAGAACAATATCATAACAACAACAACAACAACAATAAAAATAACAATAATAATAATAACAATAATAATAATAATAACAATAATAATCATCATCATCACCATCATCACCATCATAATTAATTGTACGTATGGACGGTATGGTATGAAAAGATGGGTGTGTTCCCTTGGGCCATTTCAATACCATCCCGCTAATTAATGCATAGCCCTACATGGGCATGCATGGATGTTATAAGCAATGATATATGGATGTGAGCATTATACTCCACCCATCCGTCCAACAATAAACTTCTAGTTCACTATTCACAAGGACAAACTTTATTCACTTTATTTTCTTATTTTTGTGTCTTATTTGATAAAATAATATAGTCATGTCAGCTTTAGTTTTGTAGATCTTTTCATGTAGTTTTTAAATATATAATTTTTATTTTTTAATTTCATACCATTTTTTATATAAAATGATTTGAAAATAATTTTAGTCAAACACCATAACGAGCAATGAGAACTTTATTTGTAGACGGAGGAAGTATATATATACGAGTAGCTAGGTACCAAATTAATTGCAATGGGTACCCACGTACGCACTGACTTCCCCAAATTTTTTACTACATACTCCAATTAACAATTTGCACAATTTATTGATCCATCATTCTATCGAGTTACATACATTTAAGTTTGGTATTAATGTGATTTTCAACAACTCATCTCAACTACGTCCCTTTTCCAGGGATAATTTACGTAAATAAGATTTAAATATATCACTTTTTTCTAAGTAGCACAAATGCTAATATGCTATCTAGTCTAGCATTTAACAATAGAAAATTCTAAAATATTATACCCTTTAGAGAATTGACCTATTACATAATTGAAGTATAATAAGACATTATTAAAAAACAATTTAAATAGTCATTCAAATAATCAGTTATTACCCGACACGTGTTTCTAATGACTACATTCATAAAATCATTCGAATAATCAGTTGTTATTCAAAACTTGTTGCGAATGAGGGTATAGATCTGACAGACCATATGGAATTATGTACCATTAAGGAAATAAACCATACTTAGGGGCTGTTTGACAACTTCTGAATAGGTAAGTGTTGAACCAGTAAGAGATCTCAACCATTAAGTGCTGAACCCGTAAGAAGTCTGAACCATTAAGAGCTAGTATATTGCTTAACTATTTAGAGGAAAATGTCTGATAAATTCTGATAAGAGGTCTTAACCATTCAGACTCTGTATAATACTTAACCATTCAGAGACAAATCTCTTAACCATTCAGACATCTGAACCATTAAAAGACTGAAAGAAACAGCCCCTTAGTCTTACTCAGGGAAATATACTACCTTTTAGTCCTATATGGAGCAAATTTTTTCATTCCCCACATAGTAATTAATGATTATATATGACCTTATGAATATATTAAAAAATTGAAATGAATGTACACAAATGACACAATATATATCTACTTTCATTTATTTTTAATATCAAGTACATTAAAAAGTCATAATAATCAATTACTCTTTTTGTCCCGCAAAATCTTTCTTTCTTTTTCATCTGTCCTAAAAAACTGTTATCATTTCTATTAAAAAGTTACTTTTTCCCTTATTATTTCTTAACTTACCTATCATATCACATTTTTTTACTATTAATCTATCCATCGCATCCTACTTTTACTCCATAACATCCCAGAACATTTTCGGAAAGTCAACATCAAAATATATATAATCATTTAGAAGTCAAAACAGAAAAGATTTTGTAGAAGTAATATGGAATGAAACTGGATCCCTCGAGTCTTGTACCGTTTATTTATTTTCTTATTTTTCAAAAGCACGTGCAATTAAATATTGGATTAAAAAAAGTTTCTATCCTAAAGCAATTTGTAATTGTAAAATAATTTTAAAAAAGATGTAGTTTTGTACGTCATTCAAAAAGTGAAGATCTTTAAGGAATGGATGAAGTACAATATACTACTCCTTTGTTTACTAAAATCATTTCTCTTTCACTTTTTTACTTTCACCAAAACACTTTTCTTTTTTATTAAAATGACTAATAATAATATACCAAATAAAATTATTGCAATATACTCCATTATTTATTCTGCATCGATATAATAGGTTATTTAAATGATTTATCTCTCTTTTTTTCATTGCTAATGATTTAATTGAAAAATCAAATTAGAAAAATGAATGTTGCAAAAATCAAGACAGGAGTTGTTTTGTTGAAGACTTGAAGGGAGAAAGAACTAAGTATGCATAGAAATGAAATGTCCCGTGCAAATTCACCCACAGGAGCTGCTAGGTCACCTCGCGGTTAGTCGGAAGATCGGGCTGCTAGCTAGCTAGTTAGTTTCGAACCGGAATATATAGGTACCTTACGTGTCTGTCATATACTCTCTCCGTTCACAAATAAAGTTCTCGTTCACTATTCACATGGTCAAATTTTATTTACTTTGTTGGCCTATTTTTGTGTCTTATTTGATAAAATAATATAGTCATGTCACATTTACTTTTGTACATCTTTTCATGTAGTTTTTAAGTATGTAATTTTTATTTTTTAATTCCATACCATGTTTCATATAAAATGATTTGAAAATAATTTCAGTCAAACATTGTAACGCGCAATGGAAATTTTATTTGTGGACGAAGGGAGTATACTCCTAGCTAGGTCTATGTAGGTAGTTGAGCCACGGGTAGGGCGGCAGTTGAAGTCATTAATGAATTAATTCCAGTCATCAGACCCGGGGGGGGGGCTCTAATCAACCACCGACGACGTTTTTAATTGAAAAATTTACCTTCCCAATTTGCATTAAAATATAATGACTCTCTCTAAATAGTTACATGCATGCGTTTTCTTCATAATTTGCATTTTTAGTCATTATGCATTAATCATTATTCAAGTAAATATTTTCAATTACTGGACATTATGGATATTATTAAGTTCTAGTTATTTAGAGAATAAAACAATTTAATTGTCATTTAGGAAAATAACTTAAGTTTTAGTGTTATTTAGTGCAAATTAATTTTCTTGCTCTTCTTAATAATTCTCATCTATAAAAATCCCCTCCCTCTTAGGCCTTTTCCACACACACCACAAACATACACACACAAACAATCAATCCACACAATTTAATCTAGCTACCTAAATACACCTAGCTAGTAATATGGCGGCGGCGGCGGCGATGAAGACGGTGGCATGCGTGGCGGTTTTGTGCTTGCTTGTGACGGGGCAATCCGCGGAGGCGGCGATAACCTGCGGCAGCATCGTCTCGAAGCTGGCTCCCTGCCTTCCTTACGCCACGCATAAAGTAGCCGCTCTTCCCTCCACTTGCTGTTCCGCCATTTCAAATATCAAAGCAGCCGCCAGCACCACCGCCGACCGCCAGGCTGCCTGCAGCTGCCTGAAGAGCGTCGCCGGAAAATATGCCGGCCTCGACCTCGGCCTTGTCTCTGGCATCCCCGGCAAGTGCAACGTCAACATTGGTTACCCCCTCAGCACCACCGTCGACTGCACCAAGTAAGTTTCGATCTGTTTATTGGCTTATTGTTGATAGTCAGTAGTTTTCAGTTTAAATATAAACTTCTCTCTAATTACGAGTTAAGTATATATATATATATATATATTCTTTTTTTGGAAGTAAAACGACTTAAATGATGGACAATGTTTAATTAACAAGTTTGGGTTGCATGCATAATGGTGCTGCAGGGTGCAGTGAGATAATTAAGCTGCTGCTAATAAGGGAGGGAGTCATCATCATATATTTCATATTTGTGAGATGCTGCTGATGGTGGTGGTTAATTTATGGAGTACGTCATTAATATTCGATCGATCAGCTCCCTATACTATAAATGGAGTATTATATTTGAATATTTAATAATAAAAATAATATGTGTGACGAGGAATAAAAGAGGTTACGTCCGGCCTATATATTGTCGATCTTAGCTTAATTAGCTTGTTGTGTTCATCCTCATATCTTTCTCGTTGAATTGTACGTTTTTCTCATTTTAATGCTTATTCATACCCTTTGTTTCTTGTTTTTGCATTATTATCCTGGATTTATTATTATTATTATTATTATTATTATTATTATTATTATTATTATTATTATTATTATTATTATTATTATTATTATTATTATTATTATTATTATGACGCAAATATAATCATTATTATTATTAATCCATATTCACGAAATCAAGTTTACTCGAAATGTTCCAAAACAAGTTATATGTTTCACTAATTTTGATTCACAAGGCACAAATTATTATCGATCTCTCATTAACAAAATTGGAATAAAGACTATAATCATAAAAAGTGAAATTTGCTCTAAATAATACTAAAACATACTTTCTTTTCTCAAAAAGAGTTCATGTTATATTGTGATAGTTGAAGCATTCTTACACGCACTGATTATTGTGTCTTAGAAATTAAACATTTGGGTATTTATTATTACTATATATAGTATGGTAAACTATGAGTTTTGTTGTACGAAGTAAATAATGTGTAATGAATAAATTTTATTACAGTAAAGTGATTGTAATGCTTGAAATGAGCTAGTTGATTTTGTCCATTATTTAGCATAAATTATGGATCTGCTCGACCTTTAATTTGTTGTGAAATGTTTTAGTTTTTTCTTCAATAGACGTTAACAAAAAAATACTATTATGATTTCTTACGTTTTTCAAAAAAATGTGAAATTCTTGCATCATAAAGGATACTTTAAACAGGAGTATGTTTCCTCAATTCATTGATTTGAGTGGTTAGAGGACCACCCCAAGAATTCTAGCTAGATAGGAAGCTCACTCAAGTTTAAACCTCAATGGAGATGAGGTTGATTGAAGAATGGATGAAATAATTCAATAATGATTCAAGATGTGTGCATGGGTTGTATACTTGTATATACAACCATTTCTAACTATTCCTAAACATGGTAGAAATATTTCAAAAGGTAACAAAAATAATAGGAAAACCTATACAATAGATAATAATAATAATAATATTAAGTATATTTACTATCTTTAACATTCCTCATGCGGTCTCGGAGATGATCGAATGTCGAGACTCTCTCTGAAGTCCAGAAATAAGAGACAAGGAAGACCCTTTGTGAACATGTCAGCATACTAGGAGGAAAATGGAACATGCAAGACTAGAATCTGTCCAAGGGCCACTTTGTCTCGTACGAAGTGGATGTCGAATTTAGTGTGTTTGGTGCGCTGATGATGTACTGGATTCAATTCGTCGAGAGATACACGACACTGATAATGTCACAAAAGACAAGGAGAGTAGAGTGAGAAGTAGTGAGAAGAATGCCATCCACATATAGGAGCAGATATGTCATGTCTATGCCATCGTGATACACGAAGAGGGAGGTATCAGACTTACATCCCTGGAACCCTAAGGATTGTATAAAAGTAGCAAACCGAAGATACCAAGAGTGAGAAGCCTGTTTTAATCCATATAGAGCTATGTTAAGCGTACAAACATCTCGTGGGCGAGTGTGATCTTGAAACCCAAACGATTGGCTGGCAAAGACTGTCTCGCGTAGGGTGTCATGTAAGAAGGCATTCTCGACATCTAACTGATAAACGAGCCTCCTATAACTCAGAGCATGACTAAGCACTATCCATATGGTGGCCGGCTTAACCACTAGTCTAACGTCTCATCATAGTCCACCCAGAGTGTTGATTGAATCCACAAAGCACTCAACGAGCCTGGTATTTGGACAGTTCACCTGTAGGACCAAGTTTATGGTGAAACAACCATTTTTACAGAAATAATATTTCGGATAGGGTGAGGGGGAACTAGATCCCATATTTTATTTTTAATCAAGGCTTTGTATTCCTCAACATAGTACAATTAGAATGCCAGTTGGGATCTTTAAGTGCACTACGGTATGTGGGGGGAAGAGGAGATATTGTTTATGGTGTTCATGTCCGGGATTGTTTTATATAGATGATGCCCACTTTGAAACGGGTGACCATATGGTAAGTTTTGGATTGGTTGGAGGTGGGATTAGAGAATCGAGGGGTAGGGGAGGCCGTGGGTGGTGGAGGGCGAGGGGGTGGGGGAGGCTGGGTGTGAGTTTAGTGTGGGGTCGTGGGTGGTATGCAATCGTGGATGGGGGGAGGGTTTGATGGTGGTAAAATATCGATGGTAAGAGGTTACGCCACTACTATAAAAAAAAGGGTCAAATAATCTACTACCCCATTTATATTATTTTAGAGAAAACCGATACAAATGGGATTGTCGATTTTGCCAACCGGTAGCAATTGAATCAGCAATTAGTAATAACCGATTCAATAGGCTATTGAATCGGCTATTACTAGCAACTGATTCAATTGCTTGTTCGCCAACCAGTAACAATTGAATCAGTTATTAGTAATAAACGTGTAACACCCCAACCTGCATAACCCAAATACATGTATTAATGAATCAGATTACTATTCATATAGTATCCAAACACACAATATTTTTAAAACAATCAAAAATATTTAATTCAAAAACAATATTCATAAATGCATCAGCGTTAACAAACGGTGTGGAAGCTTAAATAATTAATTCAAAATACAATTCTGGGTTCTTTACTCGAAAAATATTAAATTCAAATTAAAATATTTAATGAAGTAAACTGCTTCAGCCATCCATCCATCTTTTCATCCTCGCTGTCCTCCAAGATTATTTCCTTATTCCTCATTTCTGTTACCTACGTGTAGCAAGTAAAACAAACTACACGCTCAACTTTCACGCTCAAGGAGAGGTTCTAATAGTAGAAGTCTCACATCGAGTCATTTAATCATACATAATCAATCATAGCATTCCATGTACAAGTAATATCACATAACAACATCAAATGATAAAAGTAACATTAGCAATTCACAAGTTAAACCTTCTTACCTCCGAAGTCCATAACCAATCTTTCTTATCTCTAAGCTCATAGCTTATCCCAGGCTAAGGCCAATTCTCTATTCTTCCTAGAATCTTGATTCAACCACATCCATGGAAGAACTTGCTCGATACAATGTCAGTTGGGTGGGACCACATACTCACATTCATGAATAGATCAATTAGACTCCCGTGTGCACGCTTTGCCTAACTAATCGTACATGCACGCCGGTTCATCACATGACCGGCAATTCCTAACTATATTCTTATTCTGTTTCTTGCATTACTGCAAAATAGACTTTACACATCAGATAAATTTGGCTTTACACATCGGAAAACATCCGATGTACATTCAATTGATGGGAAAAGTCTTGACTTTAGACAAGGGATAAATATCTGCTGTCTAAACTTTTGACAACGAATATTTATCCGATGTCTAAAGTCAGGAATTTTCCCACCAGTTGAATGCACATCGACTATTTTCCATAGTGTAAAGCCAATTTTATCCGACGTGTAATGGTATTCTTATAAAATGTGTAATACTTCTTACTGAAATATAATTTAAATGTTATTTTAAACAATCCACTACAAAAGTACTTGTGCACACACTTTTAATAAAGAAAAGTTTTTATTAAAGAGAAAGAGAGAATACAAGAGCATGTTGTGTAATACCCAAAGTATATATACAAACTCAAGTCCAACAAGAAATAAAAGCAAAAATCTAGGGTACATTCTCCAAAGTAATCACTAATCAAAGATGAGTATGGAATGAAGTCATTCCTAGGTCGTGAGACATTCTATTATGGTGACTTGAAATCCAAGCCTAGAATACCATCATGGTTAATACGGCAGAAACATGACCAACATCTTGGCTAGTGCAAACCATTTTTCATCTTTCACATTTATGAGTACTCATCCAAAAGTTTGTTGTTAACAAGGATCAGTATCTTGGCTCAAGCTAAAGCCTGGAACAATCTCTCTTAAAAACCAGCACGAACCAACTAACAATCTGCATTAAACATTGTTGTTAAGTACGAGTAGTATTCACCTTCTGCATATATGAGTACTCATCCAAAAATGTTTAGTTTACACAAATAGTAGTATTGAATTTACCAATTTGATCAATACTGCAGAACCAATTCAGTCATTAAAATTGTCTTTCACCTTCCCAGTCTAAAACTGCCTTATACTCCGTACGAGATAAGGAACAAACCTGAGTGTCGAGCAATTAAGACCAACACAAAAACATGAATCTGACCACCTATATATAAAGAAAAAAGTTTAGTCTTTCTCTTTAAAATATTTTATTCTCTTTTTTACATCAGGATCTACTAAATATAAAGCAACATGTTTTCTTTGACAAGCACGTAAGATTAAGAGATCACATAGAAAAATACATCACACCTTTCTAGTTAACTAGAGAAGCGAACTATCTTAAGACCACATTAAAATCACCTTCAAATGCTAAATAAAACGAATCTGTTATGAATCAATGATACATAGAAGTGAAGTGGGTGATAAGAAAAAAAGTTGCACCTTTGTAAATATATCACCCCCTTGAGATTCGCAACAACTACACTCCCAACCAAATTTTTTAAGAAATTGGGATTCACTTGTACACTGTGGAAAAAATCAACACAATAAGAATATATAAAATAAGATTTACAAGTTTCTGAAATAGTTAAAACTTCACATGGCCACAACTTCTTACATAGAACTAGGAAAAGTCATGTCCACTTATTTATGTTTAAACACATACACATTCTTGCCTTAGTGGGGCTCACACATATTGCTTTCTGGTAATACAACAACAAGGGTATAAAATTTACAGGAGAAACTAATTGAAGAAACAACCAAATCTACAGTATTGAGGCACTCAATTCTTATAATTTGATTCAAAATAAATTTGTTTAATTCTTATCCTTATCCATAGAATGGAGGGGTGAAATCAGCTCTATTCTTCACTCTGTGAACCCAAACTAAAAATCCACATATAAAAAATTGAATTCTATATGTGTTATGTTATACTCCATTGACAATATTAAAAATCAAAGTACAGATATCTCTGTATATTAGATACTCTAAATATTAAAAAACATACAAAAACATAAATGTTATTATTTAAATGAATAAAAACATGGGGCTTAATTAATCT